TCTGGTTCAGTCAAGATCTCTTTACATTTTTTTCCAATCTCCTCCCCCCCGTATTTCTGTGCTTTTTAACTGTCCTTAACTGGACACACGTGGGCAGTGCCAGCTATGAAGTACTGGGGATCACCACAGCTATGGGTAAATATTTTAGAGAATCAGGAATTTAACTGCAGATCACGTTACTCCAACATCTCTGCCCTTCCTGTCACTTCACCTGCTTGTAATCATTAGAAAGCAGAGTGTCATTTCTAAGCTGTAGTTGAGCACTAAAAGCACCATGCTGGCCTTCCCTAGATCTACTTAATTAGAGATTAGCAGAAACAAAGCATAGGGAGACTATAAACATAATTTTGCCAGTTTATCAGCAAACAGGTTTGGGTTACCAAAGAGATAAGAGTAAGGCTGCTGTTTTATCTGTGCTGCTGGACCCCTGAGTTTACCTTTGCTGGGACCACGCCTCCATCAGAATTCCCCCTGAAACGTCACCATGAACCACAGTACTACTTTTGCAGGTTGCTGATCTTTAGTGTTGCCTGCATCGTACACCCAGCACTTTGGACTGCTTCTCTTCGTACAAGAATGTGCCCCACAAGCCTTGTGATATCTGAACTCTGTCACACAGGCTGCTCACATGTCACAGAACAGATGCTCGCCACAGCATCCTTGAAGAAGCTGCAGGGTTGGACCTTCTTAGCTCCAGAAAGTCCAGCAAACCCACCACAAAGGCAGAGGGGTCCCCCAAACTTCACCTCAGCATGAACAAACCATTTCATCAGGAGTCATAGCATACAGCTACATTAAAACAGAGTAACTTGATGGTGAACTTAAGTTTCATTTCAATCAGGAAGAAGAGAAGAAAAAGCAAGCCCTTGGATTAGAAGACAGCCGTTGCCATTTACAGCTCCTCCCAATTAAAATGTTTTATATAGATCATCAGAACTAATGCACTGTACATGTTCCACAGCGTGCAACATAAGGCTGTTGGTCTGTCATGTCTCTGTAAGAGCTCAGTGTGATGAATGATCTGGGTACTTGTCTCTCTGGTATAAAAGCAGGAGAAGCTTTGAGACAAAGAAATAAAGGCCAAGGCACATCGTACATCTTACAGTGCTTAATATCATTCCTCCTGACACACACCTCTGAAAACAGTTAAGGTCACTCTCTCTTTTATTTTGAATGTGGATTTCAGCATCAGTATCCTCCAAATCCTTGGGAGAGCTTCATTTAAAGCAGAAACAGGAATATCAGGCACATAGAGCATTTGGGCTACAGCAGACAATGCCACACGAGCATGTCATAAGAAAAATAAGTGACCTTCCCTTTTGCCTCTCCTGACAAACAGACACACGTGAAGCCACTCGCAGGCCAGGATGTTAGTGTGATTTCTGGAAGACAATCTAATAAATAAAGATTTAAAAGTGTTTAAAAAAAGCAAAACAAAACAAGCCCGACTACTGATTGTCAGAGCTGAAAAACCTGCCTTTCCATACCAACTAATGCTTTGGCAAGCCTACATGAAAGGCAGACAAACAAATAGCATATTTTCCTTTTAACACAGAATCTGCAATAAGGAAAAGAAATCAGCATTTTATTGATTTCCATAATGCCATCTCTACAACTTAACAAACTCACTCAGCTGCTAGTGCTAATTCACTGATGCTATGGAGCCTTCCCATATAATTATACACCCTCCACTTCGCTGAGCCCCAGGGCACTGTTTCTAACTTTCCAGAGGACCACTGCACCAAAAGTAGAAACAAAAAAAAAATCTCTTTTATTACCCAAAGCAAACTGCAAACCAAATTTTGCTTATTTAAATGAGAAGTTAGAGAGACTTGATTTTTAAGACAGGGAATAATCTGCCAGTCTGCATATATTTGCAGATGTGATATCATGACAACCAATTCCCATTTAAACTCTCCCCGCCTCTATTATTTTTCTTCCTAAGAGTACACAAGAATACAATATGCAAATATTGGAACAATTTTGACTTCCAGGGAGAAATTCTAAAATCCTTCTCAGCTCAGAAGGGTTTCAAGAGGGTGATCGGAATCAGACATGGAGACTTTTGTGGATGTCACTACAATTAACATTGTGAAAAAAATTATAAAATGCTACCGTTGCTACAGGGATGTATATTTCAAAGATATCTTTATTAAGCTTTTATTTTAAAAAGACAACCCTGGAATGCCTCCTAAACCAAATTCTCTGAGTCTAAAATCAAAAACGTCCTAAATAATTAATGAATTAAACTCTGCCATTTTTCTCCATTTCTCAAAAAAATTCAAGCAGAAAGCTTCAGTATATTTTAGTGAGAGTTTAATTCAATTAGGGACGGCAGAATATGGCCCAATAGATCCTAGTACTGTCTATCTGGAAAAAATGTAATGGAACTCTGCAGTGTAAACACCCTCCCCGAATGACTGCACCCAGAGTCCCCTTTCCTGCTCCCCCTGTTTGCCCTGCCTTGATAGCTCAGATCCAGCCATACTCGGTTCACCACATCCATCAAGATTCAGTGTGCCATTTGAGCTAATATAACTTGATTTTGCTATGGTTTCCCATGCATATATCACCTTGGAGTCGGTTAATCTATTTCCTCCGAGAATGGTGAAATCCGTGGATTTTTGTTCAACAAACAAACAAGTTGACAGTATCAATACAGAGCTGGAGAGCCTCTAAAAACAATCTAGTTTGCATAATTAATGTTAATTACAATAACATCTCAATCAGTGACACAAAGGCTTAGCAATGAACAGAGTCATAGGAGGAAGTGGAAACATGAAACAAACACGCAGGGATCTTGTCTTGTTCTGAAAGAGTATCAAACAAACTTTCAAGAGATTTTATATATAAGTACAGAAAGGCAGAAGACAATTCTGCTTTGTTGGACATTTTCTTTACACGCTGCTTAGCACAGAGCTTTCTTCTGAGACTGTAGTAAGACAGTGGATCTGAGCTATGGACACACCAGATAATATTATCTTCCTACAACATCACATCCAAGTCATTATCAACCGCTTAAAAGAACACCAGCCCGGGGCCTGATCCTTGTGCCAGCCATTCCAACAGCAAACACTTTAACAATGCAATGTGAATGTTTGGGGAATGGGGGCGGTTCTAGAGACAGAGGGGAATTAGGAAACAACTCCAACTTGAACACCGAATACAGGTGTGGAATCCCACAGGCGCAGAGGAATTTCAGGACAAGATAATTAATTTTTCACCAATCTTTTTCCTACTTGCTGTAGAAACAAGAGAAAGCTAAGCACACAGAAAACTTACCTGCCCGTTTCACTTGGCAGCACAGAAGTCTCAAACAGGGGGGTTTTGCTACGGTCACTTAACAAAGCAGATTTACATTTAATCCTCAGAAGTTTTCTTCGCGGCTCAAGGAAAAAACAGTTATCCAGCACGTTGTCATTTGAAGGCAAGGGAATAAAACAGCGATGAGGAAAACAAGCGCCACTCCAGCTCACCCAGACTGGCAGTGTAGTACACAAGGAGTCACAGAGGCATCGCAGGGAGCACTTGCGCAGTGAAGTGCCACTCACAGTGAGTAAGGGCGCTGTAATTGGGACTGACGAGGGGAGGAATCACGACTTGGCACGTCATTACTACAGGGGCCTTCCTCAAAACGTGAGTTTCTGGATTGCTCCTCACATTAATGCAAATCTGCTCTGGTAATGAAGTTACACTGGTGCCAAGCCAGCTCCAGAGGAGAAACAAGCCCACTTCATACTGATTCAACAGACTGCAGTTGAAGGACCCCTCCCCATAAGGGCAAAATTTCCGAAATTTTCAGGTTATGATGGGCAAGTTACCCCTCGGGAAAAGGACTGATGTTCTATTTCATGTTAATCTCACAGCTGATTCATTTTGTTTCCCTCCCTCTATTTATAGATAAAAGCAAGACAAGATTTAGTAAAGATTTAATTTTCTCTAGAAATTCACTGACCTTCTGCATACACTTGAGTGCTCACTGAGTAAAGCCATTCTTTACTAGGACTTATTTACAGGAGTGCTTGCCTTTTAAAAGAGAAACTTCATGTGGAGGATTCCCAGAATGATGCTGGCCTTTCCTCTTAACAAAAAATCAGCAGATTTATTTTTCAGACGCCTGAGAGAGATGATTTTGGAGCCCTGTGAGGTAAACCTGTGAGGTTTGGTAAACCTTCAATTCAGCAATTAGTTTCCATATGATATAAATTACAAAGATCGAGCAATTAATATTAATAAATAAACCTGGCAGAGTACTGAGGCTTTGGATGCCCTGTGCATGGAAGCACTGCTGTATTTGCTGGGGTTTTCCATGCCTCTGCTTTATTTTAGCTGCTCTGTACGTACAGCACACGACAACATACACCACATTCATGTTCTAAAAATACATTGAGGGAAAAAAAAAAAAAAAAAAGAAAAGGAAAATCAATAGCAGTGAAACAGAGACACAACCAGTTCACATCAAGCGCTCCCACCAACACCAAGCCAAAACACCAAAACTCCCCGTTGCGGAGCACGGCTTCCCCCTTCCAAACACGCATGTTCCTGCCACGGCAAGCGAAGCCCAGGTAACAGCGAAACACCCAGCACTGACAGGCTGGAGAGAGGATGGAGCACCTGGAAATACAAAAGGAGCCTTTCCCCGCTTTTCCAGCACGGACAGTGGCCAGAGCCCGGCATGGAGGGGCTGTTCCACCCGGGCGCCTTTCGGGATACCCGCACGTCAACCCTCACCACAGCCTCAACCAGGGCGGGGAAGATAACCAAAATAAAATCAAAATTACACTCGCCGGCAGCACGACACGCACTAGAAGTTGGCAACGATGCCGGGGGGTTATACCAATGGTTTTTTCCCCCCTTCTTTAGCAATCCGAGCGGGCAGCGCCAGGCTGCGCCGGGAGGGGAATGCCCCAACTTTGGAACAGTTGTCGGGGGCCGCCCCGGCCCGCGCCCCGCACCCCCAGCCCCTCAGCGAGCCCGGGAGGGCCGTGCCTGGCACTCACCCGCTCCGGGGGCTCCGCGGCGAGGACCGGCGAGGGAGGCGCCCGGGGGAGCGGGGGCTCGGCGGAGAGAGGGGCCGCGGGGGAGGCGAGGAGGCGGCGGGGGGGACACGCGGGGGAGGATTTAAACCGCGGGGAGGTCAACGTGAAACCAGCGGCGAGGGCGGCTGTGCCCGGCTCTATCCCATGCCGCCGCGGCGGCCCCGGGCGGCGGCCGAGCTGGGGAGGGTGAGCCGGGTCGGCAGGCGGCAGGGAGGATGTGACACGGTGACAAGTGCGGCCCGCCAGCCCTGTGCCGGGGGAGGGGGGCCGGGGCAGCCCAGGCAGCGCCGCCCGCCCGCACACGGCATTGACGGCGCTGCCGTGACTCACACACGGGAGTTGGTCACAGGGCGGCACCGCGCGGGCGGGGGCGGGGGGAGCGCCCCGCCCCCCGCCCGCCCGACAGCCAACGGCGCGCCGCGGCCCGGCGGATTGGCAGGAGGGGCGGCCAATGGGAGCGCGGGCCGGCCGCCGGCGGTGGAGCGGCCCCTCCGGCCCTGCGAGTCTTCTGAGGACACTCCGCCGCCAAGTGCCGGGGAGGGCCGGGGGGAGCCCCGCGGGGTGGGACCCGCGCGCCGGCCCGGCCGACGGCCAATCGGCAGCGAGGGTCGGGTTGATTGACGGGGCGGGCGGCCAATGGGAAGCGCGCGGGGGCGCGGCGGGGAGATGGTCACGCAGGGAGCGGGGGCGGCGGCCGCAGGCGGCGGAACCACGGCGGGGCAGGCGGGGCCGGCGCCTCCGAGACCCCGGGGAGGGGAAGGGCTCGGCCCGGAGCCGCCTGCCGAGCGGGAGGCGGCCGGGGCGGATCGGGGCTGGCCCCGGCGCCGCCAAGGTCGTTTCCCGCGGGAGGAAGGAGAGCGGAGCCGGGGCCTGGTGCGGGGGAAGCCGGGGAGGCCCCGCCGGCGGCGGTGAAAAGCCGGGGAAGGGGCTGGGGGCTTCCCTCGGGACACCGCGTCTGGAAGTGGGGAGCTGCGGTTGTTGCCTGTGCTTGACAGGTGTCACGGCTCGAGTCTCGGCTGTTTTCTGATTGTGACAGGTTTTTAGAGAACAAAGCATATCCCGGGATCCCGTACGGTGTCAGAATTTAACCAGGTGAACGAAAAAAAATGGGAGCAATAGCAATTCCTCTCTCCTGCTGCTGGGGGGGGATTGACAGGTAGGAACAGCGTCAGTGGTATAAAAAAGCAACGCTGTTATCACAAATGATTAATATTTGAGGAATTTATTTTGGGCACGAGGAGGAAGTAATGCCCAGTAGGAGTTTCCAACAAATACTGGAACCTTACCAACATTTTAATCCCCGTGAAGGAAATGAGATACTCAAATTGTGTTTCACCTCTTCAGCTCTACGTACTAACTCTTGTACTAAGATCTGCTTTTTGCAGTAAAAGCGCAAAACAGCTGATAGATTTCTATAAGATAGTGAGATAACAGAATAAGGGACTGCGTTGGCATTTTCACAGGCTGAAAAAATACAATTTTTTTTTGTTTTAAAAACTTGTTCCATCAACAGACTGCTAAGACTGCTATAAATACGGATTGTTTTTCTTATTTTGACATCCACAGTAATTGAAGAGCTGAAAAATGGTAACCTGCAATAATTTCTTCATGTTTTTCAGTTCAGAAATGGTGGGACTAATTACAGTATTTTCCTGCTTGCTTTTATTGAAATCCAAGGGAGTTGGAAGGGAGAATTCACAGTTCCTCATTTGAAGCAGGAATTGTTAAACCATACACCAAAAAAAGCTCTCAGATTTGTGTCTAAGGCCCCATTCTGCCATCCTTGCCATAGTGTCTTGCAAGAAATCCAGGATGGACAGTACACAAATTGCTCTAATATGAAAGGGGAAGAAAATAAGACCATTAAAGCCATCCTGTCAGAATAAAAAAGGGAAGAAAAAAAAGGATGGTGGGGGTAAGATTTTCTTTTCGACTAATCATTGGGAATAATGAAGGATGTTTATAAGTGACTCCCATCTTTGAATTGATAGCAAAAGCAGAGAATTTAGGATCTGTCGTCTTTCTCCCACCCCCTCTGGCCATTAGCAAGAGGTTAAAATACTTGCAGGGTTCTGCATCCTTCAGCAGTGCTCACACTGACTCATGCTTGGAGACTTCTGAACGCTGCACTGAGGAGGGCTTTGCATCAGGTCCTGTGCAATTTGGCAAACAATGAGCAGAGCATTCACCAATCAATGATAGATTAAAAAAACCCGATATATATACACATACCCCTCTTCAAAGAACTGAAAAGGGTGGGAGTCTCAGGGCAGACAGTTGTGTTTTGGTAGCTGTACCTTCTTTAGCAGCAGTAATCTGACAGAATTGACACAGAAATTGGGCTGGTGAGTTTGGGCACGATTGCTTGTGGCTGGTGAAGGTCTGGAAGCACTCATCCTGTGCTGCTGTACAGCCTGGCACGGGGGCTGTGCACACCCTTCAGAGGCAGCAGCCGAGGAAATGTTTCACATCAGCACGGCACTGCAGCTTTCCCAATATGCAGCAGGGTTTTTGCAGGGCCAGCGCTGGCAGGGAAGCAGCAGTTGTATGAAGGCTTTTCTTTTAAAGTCTCAATTTCATAGCTACAGAGAAAAATTTGGAAATGCAGCTGCCTGCCTGCCAGAGGTGATTTCTGTCTGAGGTGGTTTGGGTTGGGATTTGCACGTTTGGTTGTTCAGGATTGCTCTTGCTTCAGCTGAACAGAGCTGAGCTGCTCCTCAGTGAGACTGGGCTTAGCAGTTACAGCATTTCTGCCAAACTGCTCCAGGAGTGCTCACAGGTGAACTGGGGCCTCATAGACAAGGATCAGCTCTGCAGGGATAGTTGGTGTCCTGGCTCAGAAATCCAGCAGCTCTCCCCCTGTAATTTGGGTGTGGGGCAAAACTGCAGGAAGTGTGTCATGGGTTTGGCTCTGGCTTCACCTGAGAGAACCAAACCACAAAACACAGAGCAGAGGGAGCTCGGGCCAGCAGGTCTGCCTGAGGTGTGCAGTGTGCCTGGAGCTGGGCTTGGTCCCAGGGGCTTGATACAGCTCTTCCACCCTTGTGAGCAGGCAGTAATTCCCCTGAAGCTGCCGGGTTTGAAGCTTCAAAGCCTGAATCAATCCAGGGTCTGGCAAGATGGCCTGAGCCCTCCTTGCTCACATCCATGCACATCCCAAGCAGTCAGAAATCTTTGATCCCGTGCAGGTGCCCTGCTGACATAAACTTCACTTTCAACTACGTCTTCTAGGGAGCATCAGAAAGCGTCTATCATGTTGAGGAGAACAACTGCTAAAAATATTTGTTCTTCTGAGCGTAATTGAGATTATTTTGTTGATAGTTTCACACAAAGACCTTTGGAGCCTGGCGTTTTTTACTGCACCACAGCTGTTTACAAAATAAGATTGTTTAGTTAGTTATTGACCTTAGGGAATACCTTTAAAAACCTGCAAATACTCACTTTTAAGTGAATAAAAGCAGTGAATTTCCTTCATCTATGTTTACTTTTTGAACACATTCCCACCAATTAGATTAGTGGATAGGAATGTTTATGGAAAGATTTTTAAGCCCATTTTAGTGCGTATTCATGGAAAGCAAAATTTTATCTCAAAAACACAGTCATCTTACCAGGTGTTAATTTATATTCTGGGAATGCAAACCAGTAGTACGTGTCTGATTTGTTCAGGATTTGTAGCTTTGCTGTTTATCCAGTCTTGTCTCCTTTTGTGCCATCCTGATTCCTAGTCCTCTGTGCCAGGCATGGAGAACTGAACATTTTATTTGTTCACTTCACACCTTCTGCATTTCCCTCTTGAACAGAGGGCTTCTTTCTTGAGCAACAGTGAAACTAAACCGCTATCACAAAGCAAACTTGGGGCCCTGGAATATAAAACCACTCCCTGCAAAATTTAAATTCCTTTGGAAACCATCCTCTGCCACAGGCCTATAAACATTGTCCAGCTGCAATGAGTGTATCGATTCTTGGAAACCAGCTGTATTTAGCAAAGAAATAACAATACTGTGTGCTGAAACAGAGATAATTGCCATTTTATAAATTTCATTTAGATGTTGGGTGCTTCTGATCTACTCCTCTGTGAAGTAGAACTGGGAACAAAGGTATACCAGTGTAATATGCCTGCTTTTTTAAAATGACATTTGTCTTTCTAAGTAGTTATGTGAAAAGCAATTGGTTTATTATAGGACAAACAATTTGTCTTGTTTGACAGATTGAGATTTAAGTTTAATGTCATTACTACCATCACATAATCATGCTCATGTGCATTCTCCAAAAGTTTAGCATCACATTCCCGATCCCTTTGCTTTGCAAATGACCAGGAGAGAAGATCCAGAGCTCTTGTTGCAAGAAAACAGACCCTCCTTTATGTAAAGGCAAAAAAATCTGTAATGTTTTATCCCTAAATCATGCCATTTATACCCAATTGCAAGCTGCTCTTCACCTTGGACTGTGTTCTCCTATTGGTTATAATGTTTTCAGCTGTCCAATGTCTGTCTCCCCACACAGCACTGCCAAACACCAACTTCTCCCATAATTTTAAAACTCAAATTACTTTACTATTATCTTTTAAATGCTTCTGCTCATACAGCTTTATTGCCTGGTTTACAAACATTTACAACCTAATCCACGAATGCATAACACATTGAGTTGCTTGTATTATTCCACTACCAGAAGCCACATGACATTTAGTATATTAAAATACAATAGTGTTAAGTCCAAAGTTGGAACTGCAATTTAAATATGGAGTTTGTCCCCCACACGTTTATTGTAGAAATTAGCAGAACTTTTATGTAGAGCTCTGAAATGCCTAATGGGTGCTTGTGTGGAAACTTGCCCAGCCATGGGTGCCACCTGCAGCACCTCAGTATTTCCAGTTGTCATCTGACTGCAGCCCATGCAAGGCAGAGCCTGTGTGGTTTTTCCTGCTTAGGAGTGGAGTGGCACAACTGCAGCACTGGCAAAAATGCCATAAATGATAGCAGTGAATCAAGCACATTCCTCTGTGGAATGCCAAGGGTCAGGTACTTGTAGCAGGATTGCTTTTGTGTGATCCACGAGAACAAGATTTACTTCTAAGAAACGTCTGGTGAGAAAATTTCACACACAAAAAGCAGAGGAAACAAAGCTGTATGTGGACCAGGATGGTGAATTTAAGAGTAAGTTACATCTTATGAGGTTTTTGTCCAGCTCAAGTTGGAAGTTCCTCAAAATCAGGATTTTATTGTAGGAGAACTACCAGACATTTATTGTGAGTCAT